ATGGTCATGGATTTCTCATATGCATAGGAGGTACTCCACTATTACCTCAGTGGTCTCTCCTATCTCCAGTAATTTTTCTTCTTTATAAAAAATAATAATGATAATAATAATAATAATAACCTGAATGTTCTTTTCTACTGAAATTGATTTTAGCCACAGATGAAACTATAAGGTTTTCCAGTCCTGGTATTAAGTGAAGTATCAAAAATTAGCGATTTCTTGAACCTTCTTTACAAGGGCCATACTCTAATTTCAATTATATAAAACTGGTGTCCAGTTGTTATCTGAGCTTCCATTCAGTCTCAAATTTCAATGTTCACACTTTGTAGAATAGCTGCTTTTAGAGACAAATCAGTTGACAAATGGCAGAGGAAGACACAGGTTACAACTGGTGCTGCAGCCATCAAAGGAAAATTACATGCTTTTAATCAGGTTTGATTCTAACAGAAGGGATGCTCTTCTCCTAAAGGAAATATTACTAACTCCTTTTTCCCTTTTCAATAACAGAATGTTAGCGCACAAGTTGCTGCATATATGAGGGATCCAAGTAGAATGATTAAGCAAATGCAACAAAGAAGATCCACTGTTGACATATTTGGGACTGTAAGTTAGTAAACCTCATATATGAATTTGGAATCTGTAGAGTAGAACATTTGGACAGGGCATTCTTGGTATGCAAACGTGTCAATTATCCTTTTTGCTTGTACTCATCACCTGGCTTATTTACGGGCAGGTGATTCCTGAGGGGGGCGCTAATACTTCAGTAGAGGTAATTCTAGTTTGCATTTTCCTTTTATTCTTTGTTATTTTCTGGGATTTCATTTCAACCAGTAGATCTGATCTATCTCAGCACAAAAATACAAGAACTTGTCATGGTCAAATCTCAATCCAATGTTGAGTTAGGTGCATGTTGAATGTCTGGAAAGTTTTGGCTCACCTGCTTACCATTGTATGCAGAATATAATATAATGATCCATTTTCTTAAAATTTTTTTACACAAGGAAAACGAGTTTCCTGGTAAACTGAATATGAAGCGGACAATCCCTATTTAACAGTTGCCTTTGCACACTATCACATTGTGCTAGGCAATTTTATTTTTAGAATGAGCAAAGGGCAAGTGGCAGATCTGACTGTTGTGGATATATATATATATATAGGGAGAGAGAGAGAGATGAATTTCTTTTAAGTGGAGAAAAATACTTGTTTGCTTTCCTGTTCACATTCCTGACCTATCGCGTGCATGTTCCTTTTTGAATGTGGCTTTTGAAGAGCAAAAGTTGAAATCCTTTGTGAAACATATGCACGGAGTTGAAGTATTTCATGAACAGAGCCTAGAAAAATTAAAATGTTTTTAAAATGAATTCAACTGTTGATAAAAGTATAACTGTCTACAGGGTAAAAACTGAATGGATATTTAATGTTCCTGCATCAGTACACTTTCAACTGTCAGTTTATTTGGAGTGCTGAAAAGTGGTGTGTTTATGGCCTATGAATATAATAACCAGTTCCTTCTTGCGGTCC